AAAACGGTCTTTTCCAAAAAGATATCCAAACACTTACGTAAATAAAAAGAGGAAGGAGAAAGAAAGAAAGAAAAAAAGCAAAGAGAGAGAGTCGCTTCAAGGTCAAGTAGGGTGATGGGAAGTCAAAAAAAAAAATACATGTAAAGTGCGTGCTGGCGAAGACGCAGACCAACCTTTATCAAATAGCGAAAGACGTAAATAGACGAAATGCCTTATGATAGAAAATACCGTATGACGTCACAAAGATGCGTATGACACAAAATAGCATATGACATCACAAAATACCGTATTGCGTCACAAAAAGGCGTATTGCGTCACAAAATAGCGTATGACGTCACAAAATAGCGTATAACATCACAAAAGAGCGTATAGCATCACAAAATACCGTATTGCGTCACAAAATAGCGTATGGCGACTCATAATAGCCATAACATCACAAAATATAGCGAATAACGTCTGCTAACAGTGCCTGACGTTCAAATAGTGAAAGAAGAAGTCTCCCAAATAGCGTATGAAGTCCTCAAATAGCGAATGACGTCACCAAAAAATCGTATGACGTCACCAAAAACCGTATAACGTCAGAAAATAGCATATGACGTCACCAAAAAGGCGTATGACGTCACTAAATACCGAAAGACGTCACCAAACAGCGTATGACATCAAAGCATCAAGAGAAAAGAAAACGGAAAGCGGTGAAAAGCTAACCGTCACTAAACTAAAAAGAAAAAAAAAAAAAAAAAAAAAAAAAAAAAGTAATGAGGTTTGTTTACCATAAATTGACGAGCTAAACCGCATAATTGGCGTTGATAATCACTGTGATTAAGGCGCGAGGCAATAATTACCGGCAGTAATTGTTCCTTTTTGTAGCAATTAACCCCTCCTTGTATTCATGCTATTATCAAAGAAGTATACAAAGGAAAAAATATGTGTTGATTAAAGGAGAGAGAGAGAGAGAGAGAGAGAGAGAGAGAGAGAGAGGAGAGAGAGAGAGAGAGAGAGAGAGAGAGAGAGAGAGAGAGAGAGAGAGAGAGAGAGGTCTTGGTAAATTTTCCAGTTTATTTCTTTGTAATTTTGTGTACATTTGTGTGAATGTGTATATCCACACGCACATCCACACACACACACACGCACATACATACATACACACACACACACACACACACACATACACACACACACACACGCACACACACACACACACATTGATACACGCACGTGCGCGCGCTTAGTGGAAATCATACTTGAAAGTGACCTTTTGGCCTCCAAGTCACAAGATGTGAATGTGTGTGTGTGTGTGTGTGTGTGTGTGTGTGTGTGTGTGTGTGTGTGTGTGTGTGTGTGGTGTGTGTGGTGGTTGTGTGTGTGTGTGTGTGTGTGTGTGTATATATATATATGTATATATATATATGTATATATGTATATATTGTATATATATATTATATATAATATATATATATATATATGTATATATATATGTATATATTATGTATACATATGTTATATATATGTAATATATATATAATATTATATAATATATATATATATATGTATATATATGTATATATATGTATATAATATATAATATATATAATATATATATATATATATATATATATATATATAATGTACATGTGTGTGTGTGTGTGTGTGTGTGTGTGTGTGTGTGTGTGTGTGTGTGTGTGTGTTGTGTGTGTGTGTGTGTGTGTGTGTGTGCGCCGCGGGTGTGTGTGTGTACTTGTTATATATATTATATATCTAAACCTACCGCCCGGGCCTTCAAATCTTCTAGGTCAGTATTTTAATTGCGTCACTTTGTTTCCATATTAGAATTCAACAGGCCATTAATACTTCATAATCATCACTGCACCTGACATTAATGATACTGCTCTTGTCACTAAACCCAAATGAAATGATACGTGCCTTCTGATGCAGACAGATGGAGGAAGTGAACTGAATTTGGATATCAGCTGGTCCCCCCCCCTCTAACCTCCCTTTCCTGTCCCCCTCGCCCCCCCCCCCTCCTATCTCCCTTGCTCGTTCTCTAACCACTTCCTCACCTCCCCTTTCCATCCCCTCTTTTCTCCCCCCCCTCCCACCTACGATTGCTCATCCCCACCCCTCATCTACTCTTGTCCATCCCTTCCAATCCCCACCTCCAAGTGCCCATCCCCTCCACCTCCCCATGTCCATTCCCCTCTCCTCACCACTTCCCCTTGCCCATCCCCTCCTCCCCCTTAGGAGAATCCCTCACCACCTCCGTAGGAGTACCCTTCCCCCCCTACGAGTACCCCTCTTCCCACTCTCCCCTCCCTAGGAGTACCCCCCTCACCCCTCTCCAGGAGTACCCCCACCCCCTCCCTAGGACTACCCTCTCCCCCTTCTCCCACCCTAGGAGCCCCTCTCTCCCTCCCTCCCAGGACTACCCCTTGCCCCCCTCCTCCCCTTCCTCCAGGAGCACCCTTCTCCCCCTCCCCTCCCTAGGACTGCCCCTCCCCCCCTCCCCCCCCCCAGAAGCACGTGACCTACTTCCATCATTCCGGCAGGAAGACTGACGCAACGAGAGCCCCCCGTCAGTGTGTCGGATTGGTATTTCGTGTGGCATTGAAGTCTCCTCTCTCGGTCGTTTTTTTTTTTTTTTTTTTTTTTTTTTTTTTCTCTCTTCTCTCTTCTTTAATATGATATTTTGTTGTTTCGTGTTTTTTTTTTTTTTTTTTTTTTTTTGTCTCTCTCTCTCTCTTTAATATGATTTTTGTTATTC